ACGCCCAAAATTTTATAAAATAAATAACTTTCACTATTTTAGAGATTCCTGAAATAGATAATCAGATCCTAACTAAATTCATGGCTGACCAATTGGTTCGACTCGAACCTCTAAGATAGATGTCTAATATTTTTAAAGGAGATGCTTCGAACAATATATATCTATCAATACCCGGCGATTAGAAATGATGGAACGATATATTAATTCTGGTTAACGTGTCCACAGGCGATCAAGCGTTGCGCGCTCTCTATTAAGCGTAGACAATTAAACGAGCAACAGCGCCACGTAAAACATTGATAATGAGTTATGACTAACAGCCAACAAAGAAATACGCTGTATAATGAAATTATGACATGACTGACTTGGCTTGGCTTTTCAACTTGATATAGGAAAACAAAACTCAAATAAATACAGACGATTTGCAACTATGCAATCCATGATGATCTTATCCATTCTAAATAATATATCAACAAAGGTCAAGTATGAGGTATAATTTCATTACACTGACTTGCGAGGAATGAAAAAAATGAAACATTTTTTTTCATATAAAATTTCAGACTTTATGACAGTTATTATTAGCCCATTAGTTGACTTCGGGTTTTACAGAGGGGAGGAACTGACAAAGTCACAAAAAATAGAGAGGGGGGGGGGAACAGAAGTGTGGTTAATGCATGTAAGAAAGACAGACACAATGGTAGAGAGAAAGGTAATTTAAGTAATGTGGGAGTGATTGAATATGGTAAACAGTGAGGTGCCAAGAGTACATCGCAAGGGGTAAATCTATCGCAAACAAAAAATTCGAAATATGATTCATAGGTAAATAAGTGACAAAAAACTTTAAATACTGCTGTCTTTACAAGTCAGTAAAATGTTATATTTATTGAAAAACACTTATCAAAGTGGCTACCATTAAATAAAGAATAATTGTGAATGAGAAAAAGGAAAAAACTACAGAAAACTAAATCTATGTCGAAAGAAAATATTCACAAACATATGAGCAAGGAAAAATTGAC